GACCCATATGGCATGTAAAATTAGGGAGAACAAATTGGCCTTCTTTAATGCATATATGGAAAAGAGGCCAATACACCTTTCAGATTTGCTCAGCCTCCAGGTGCAGAAAACAGATGTGTTCAGTGAAACATGTCTGGAGTGCTGACAAGATGATGAGGCAAATGATAAAGAGAGACAAGGATAGGATTCCATCAGTACAAATCTCTCAAGTCTGGGATTTAGTCGATTGGGGAATCTTTATCCATCACTATGGGCTTATCAGGGACCAGAGACATGAATCTTTTCTCTGAAACGGTTCTTAACCCAAAAATGAAAATAACGCTAATATATCTCAGAAAAACTGAAATGCCTATATTGGGCCTCAAAAGGAAGATGGATGAGAACATGAGTTTTAATATGTGCAAGAAAGAAAAGAACTAAAAGGACAAACAGTAGTAAACAGTCCAACTTGAAAACTATCAAATCTGGAGCAAACCAGCTAGAGAGATAACATCAACCAAAGTGTGTAAAATGGCTTTAATGAACATAATATCTCTGTCAGGAAAATTATTTTCAACCAACTACTTAATTACTCAGCAAAATCTTGATTTTATGTTTCAAACTGAGACATGGCTCAATGAAAATAATGAGATACTGAATTTACTAGGGATGTAACGATATTGACATTATGGCACTATCGCGGTGGTAAACGTGTCTCGATATCGTCGTGGTTGGGTTAAAATAATAAAAGGACAGGTGTCCGTTAAAAAGCAAGAGGATTAAACACAGTCCCGCGGAACAAATCACTGTTAACTACATAGACCATGATCCTTTGCGCTGCGTTATCATACCAACCGTTCTTAAGCCAATAGGATTGCACGCGGATTGCACGCTGTCCTCACAAGCTCAAAGCGAGCTAGCATGGCCGACAGCGATAGTTTTAAGGATGAAAACAACAACCCCGAAGTTGAGATTGTGCCAGCCCCTGCAGCTTTTAAGTCAGATGTCTGGAAACATTTTGGTTTCGCTGTGTCAAAAAACGCAAAAGGAGAGAAGGTGGTGGACAGACAATGGACTATATGCAAGCACTGCCAAGGTAAACTGCGATACAACACCGGAAGCAAAAGCAATATGCAAAGTCATCTGACGACTCATCATCCAGAAAAGTTTGCAGATTCTCTCACAAAGAATGTCCTGTCCGGTCAAAAAACCCTGAAGGAGGCTTTTTTTTTTTCTTGAAATGTAGATCTTTTGATCTTACTGATGAAAAATGTGAACATAACCTAAATGATAGGTCAGTGTTTTAAAAAAAGGCTTTTTGACTATTTTATTTAAGTTATGTTTCTAAACACCAGTTTTAAAAGGCTGCTTTTACTTGCCTTGCACATTTAAACCTGACTTAACTTGATATTTGTTTGCACTTAAAGGGATTTCCCTATTGTTTACAATTGCTTCTTAACTTGAACATCATTCACAGAAGAATCAACAGAATATTGATGTTCCGGACTACAACTTGCACTTTAAAAGCACTATGTGATCAGCGTTTTATGTTGTAATGATCCATAAATACAAACATAAATTGCCTGTTGACTTGCAAAAGCAGAAAAAAATTCTATTATCATCAGAAACACTATTGTGAGCTATTTAACAGTACCGTGAGCTTTTCCACAATATCGCAATAAATATCGTACCGTGAGGTCAATATCAAAATTGTATTGTACTGTGAGATTTTGATATCGTTACATCCCAAAATTTACTGGAGACAGAACCTCCCATTTACTATTTTCCTTATCAGAACACTGTTTTAAAAAGGGGAGAAATTGATCATGGATTACTTTGAATCTTTTTAATATACAGCATAAGTATCCGAGTACAGGGCCCAGTTTGAGCCATGTTTCTGAATGTTTATTGGCCTTGAAAGTCCAAAACACAAATTTTTTTTTATTTCAATGAACTTTTATCCATGATATGTGTGGGAACATGATTAATTCATTATTGTGGTTGACTCTAATGTATATGTTGACAACCCTGAACACAAAGGTGCAAAAGAACTGCATGATTTATGTCAAAGTATCGATGATGCAATGCAATGATTTTACGGTTTTTTTACTGAGAAAAAAAAATTGGATTAGAAAAGCAGGCTGCACGTCAAAGCCAACTCCAGCACCAAGAAGATAAACAAGGTTGTGATATTTTAGCTAAACATGGCAGTACAGTAATTGATTACAACCAACCTATGATAATAGTGATTTGAAATATCCTGCAGGGGTATTGTGTAGTCTGCCCACTGAAGAAACTTCTACTTAAAGTCTCATGTGTGACAATATGAGCTTTATCTTTCCTCTCTTTTGGAGCTCTGACAGCTGAAGAGCTTGGACAACAGATGTTGTAGTTAAACCCTCTCTAATCACTGACACTGAAGCTTTTAAGTCCTTCACAGTACCATTAAGTACCATTAAAGTCCAAGGTGCATTAATGTGATTCCTAAAGACTTATCTTCTTGCCCAGCCACCATGTCTACGCAGATTTAGAGAGTTCCTTATTCCTTCCATTGATCTTCCTCAATGATTTCATTTAACTTAATCTAAATTCTGTTTAGAGATCTGTTTATATTCACCTCCATCCATCCATCCATCCATCCATCCATCCATCCATCCATCCATCCATCCATCCATCCATCCATCGATCATGCTTATCCCAAGCAGGGTTGCAAAGGGTGCTGGTTCTTGACAGATCGCCAGTCGCCAGGGCAACACACGGACAAACAGTACCATTCATACACACACTCACACCTCAGGAGAATGTAATTAACCTAACAGTCATGTTTTTTGACTGTAGGAGGAAGCAGTAGTACCCAGAGAGAACCCACGCATGCACAAAATATGCAAACTCCATGAAGAAAGATCCCGGACCTACAATTTAACCCGGAACATTCTTGCTGCAAGGCAGCAGCTCTACCCGCTGCATCACTGTGCAGCCCCATCTATAGACTTGTATTTTTTATTATATTTTTCTTTCTCTAAAGTTTACTTTTGTTTTAATAAATAATACATAAAATAAAAAAAACATTATTGATCTCACATTGGAGAAATGGGCTGCCATTGTTCGGCACCCGGGGAGCAGTGTGGGGTTTAGGGTCTTGCTCAGAGACCCAGAGTGGCAGTTTGGGGAAGTGGGTGATCGAACTCCCAATCTCAGGATTCTAACCCTTATGCCCTAACCACTATGCCGCCACTCCGTCTTTTGGTGTTGCTATTATGGAAGAATTTTTAAAATTCATAAATTTTTCCCAGAACCGTATATAACTGATATTACAGTCACCAGGCACACATCAGCTGCTTTTAGGCTGTCTCCATTTAACTGACAGAGAGGCTGTTGCTATCAATTAGTTCAGTGCCAAATGAATTCTATAAGTATGTCTCATGGTGTATGAATGTGAATGTTAATTTGAAATAAAGAGTAAAAGAACATTTTTCTATTTTTCCCCATTCATTACTACATGCTTTATAACATTAAGCAAATGCTAATCCCAGACCATGGTCAGTCTTTCAAAAGTAAAAAAAATAATTTAAATTATTATTTTGCTTTAAAAAAAAAAAATGCTATTCAAACCAACCTTTAAATGACCTTGTGTTCTTGTGTTGTGGAAAAAGTAAAGGTTTGCCTGTTTTGTTAGCCAACCAGGTTGCAAAATCAAGCAATCATCTAAATAAAACCTGTATAGCAACAATAAGTTGGCTAAAACATCACAAATGCAGGATTTTATGACCAAATCTAAATGAAGTGAAGGTCAACTTTTCTTTTATCATTTAACAGTAATTAAGAAACTTGACCTATATGGAGTTATTGTGAAAGAGCCAAAAGCCGAAACCACATCTGACCAATCGAATCGATAGGGCAGAATCACATTTCTCAAAAAGACATTGTAATGATCACCAATCATTTTGTAGTATATAATCTTTTGACTGCCGAGATAAAAGTGGTATTTTGAAAAAAGGTAAGTGTCCTGTTTTATCATACAGATAGTCAAACAGTGTTATGGTTTTACCTTGATGATTTCACTAAACAGACCAAAATACTATTCCTGAAAGTAAAGCTTTGCCAGTCGGTTTGTTACCTTATCCCTCCAGTGTGCTTGGGTTGTGCAGAAAGAATGATCTGAATCGCAAAACCTCATCTGCTCTTTAAGAGCTCAAAAGCAGAGAGTTTATTGGGTGGCCTACTCCCAGTCTGGACCGGAATCTGACAAGCAGATTGTTCCATATCCTTTAACAGGCAATTCAATCAGAATCACAATCAGATTTACTCTATTAATCCCTTCGAGGAGATTCTTTTCGTTCAGTGCAAACATTTAGACAAATGAAAAAATAAGATTGTAAATACAATAGAACGAAATGAAATACAATATAATAAGACAGTAGCGCAGTGGATAGCACTGCTGCCTTGCAGCAAGAAGGTTCTGGGTTCGATTCCCGTCCCAGGGTCTTTCTGCGTGGAGTTAGTATGTTCTCCCTGATGTGTGGGTTCTCTCTGGGTACTCTGGCTTCCTCCCACAGTCCAAAAACATGACTGTTAGGTTAATTGGCTTCTCTAAATTGCACTTCCAATTTTAACAGCGTAAAATAAGATATAAGGATAAGAATAAAATAGGATAAGGATCACAAACTGTAATCAAACTGTCCTGAAAAGAGTCATATTCCCAAAACATTCATGACACTGACTTCCAGTTAACTAATTTAGGAGGAATTACCTTTTAACAAATAGCTAGATTGGTTTAAATACTTTTTTGTTTTTAACTGTACTCTAATACTGTAATCTAAAACATGCTTTTTATTTATCCAGGTGCTCTAAAATAACAATCTGTTATCTTTACCTGCAATACGAGATGGTTGATTCTTCACAAGGTAAAATGAATATTTTAACATTTATACAAATTTTAAATTAAGTGTCTTTATAGGGGGCTTAGTTAAGCAGCTGAAGTGTAACATTCTGTGAGAACGCAGTTTTTCTATGTCACTCACCTGAGGGGTTGAGCAGCCGCCAGGTGATTAGAGGGTCCGGCCTGCCACTTGCCAAACAGCTGAGAGTCACGTTGCTGCCTTCATTCACGACGATGTCTTCTGACACCTTGTAGATTGTGGCTGGAACTGTGGACACAACAAATGTGAGGCGTGATTGGACTGAAGGCAAATTATAAATAATCTTGTGTTTTTCTCAGAACCTCTAGTGAACCAACTAGTGAAGGTTATTTCTGTTAAACCTTTTAACAATTTTCTTAAATAATATGCAACAAAGATGAAAACGGACACAAAGATATTGATCCTTGGGTAGAACTTAAATTAAAAAAAAAATAACTTTGCTATTCTTTCTTTTTCACTTTGTTGTGCCCTTAGAGGTAGTTACAATTAGTGCTTTGAAAGCCAAGATCTCAATAAGCAATTTAATATCCTGCCCTGAAATGCGAGCTCAAGAAGACAGATTTCTTATTTTATCCTGTGGGAGATCAAACAGTTATTTAGTGCTTTTTTAACCAGACATAACTCCAGAAGGCAGGTTTTTTATACATGATTCATAATGTTTAGGTTAAAGGTTGAGTTTACTTTCCTTTTGTGTATTAAGAAATCTCTAATTATCATTCTCCTTTGCAATCCTTGTTTACACCAAGCTCCCAGTCCTGTCACTTTTAATGAAACAAAACATAAATAAATAAAAAATCTTCCATCAAAAAAAAAAGAGATTTGGAGGGAGAAACGAGCTCTGGCGATAAAGCAAGTCATCGGATAGGGTGTAATCAATCATGACTGATGTAAAGGGCATACATCAGGGGTTTCACAAGCTCCACAGTGGCACAGATGAATATCGGCAAAAGCAAGATACAGCCATAAATAATGATGAACAATGTCTGATATCATGGAGTTCCATCCTGCTTATTCAAATTGAAGAATAAAGATTTATGTTCTACAGCATTTGTACGGTGGGCCTGAAGTGCAAACTGCAACTAGAAATCTAAAAGCGCAACTACATTAAGAAAAACAAAACTACATAAAGCAAAGTGCAACTACATTAAGGAAAACACAATTACATTAACCTACTGGAAAAGGTAGGTACCAGTGGGAAACATGAGACATCGCTGATTGGACGACGGCGCCGTTTGACCCGGAAGTTGCATCGTCTGAACAGTCCAGCTTCTTTTAAGTGTGTCTTCAGTGTACGCAAACTAACTGAAATTTCGTGATTAGTCTTGAGCATATCCAGTATCACCTCGTATGTATGTCCTGATTTAAAATATTCCTGGATAACGGCAGCTATGTTTGGGGCGCCGACAATATCCATGTTTTCAAAAGCCGCAGCAGGCAGAATGACTTCCGGTTCAAGGGTCAAACGGTGCCGTCGTCCAATCAGCGATGTCTCATGTTTCCCACTGGTACCTACCTTTTCCGGTAGGTTAATGTAATTGTGTTTTCCTTAATGTAGTTGTGCTTTGCTTTATGTAGTTTTGTTTTTCTTAATGTAGTTGCGCTTTGCTTTATGTAGTTTTGTTTTTCTTAATGTAGTTGCGCTTTGCTTTATGTAGTTTTGTTTTTCTTAATGTAGTTGCGCTTTGCTTTATGTAGTTGCGATTTTCTTAATGTAGTTGCGCTTTTAGATTTGTAGTTGCAGTTTGCAGCTCAGGGCCACCGTACATTTGTTATGATATTACTGGAAGTTTTAATTTCAGTATTGTACCAGTTTGAAAATGTAAGGCAGTTTCTTTTTTTTTACCCGACTCCTTCTTTACAAGCTAAAAGTTCCCTTTCGTTCTGACATTCTAATATCAGCAAACACGGCAATAACCATGCACAGTCAAGTCTGGATGCAGGTACACCTATCAAAGTAATATTGACAGCAAAACTCTATTTTCCCCCAGTGGTCTTGCAGCAAACCTGAACCAAAGCTAGGATATTACTTTTTATGGATTCTGAAAATTGCAGATACTTAAATTCTGTGATAACACAGAGTTTTTGTTGGACCAGTTGCAGGGGATAAAGAGAAACCTTTGATTGAAGAAACAACACACTTGTAGAAGATATGCAGCATCTTGCTGCAAACTCTTAAGGATCTTTGCATTCTTAGGAAATACATTCTGCTCTGTCCCTTCTTGTAGATGCCTTCACAGCTGTGTCTCCAGCTGAGTTTATTGTCCAGGTGAACACAGAGGTACCGGTATTTATATTTCTCCACCACCTCTACTTCTCACATGATGTTAAATAGGTTTCTTGGGAAAATCTACAATCATCTCTTGTTTCACTCAAATTCAGTATCAGATGATTTTTTCTGCACCATGCTACAAAACTGTTCATCAGCTCCCTGTCCTCGTCTTTGCTGCTCGCCAATAGCTGCTGGGTCATCCGACTATAACCCTGTGGTGCTTCTCTCCTGCTGGCTACCAGGTTAGACAGTTGACCCTTCAGTATTAAAAACTGGGGTCTGTTTGTAAGGTAGTCTTTGATTCAGGGGATTGTTGAGGCCTCCAGCTGAGTCTTCTATAGTTTTTAATAAAACCAAAGTAGGCTAAATTGTGTTAAATGCTCTGGAAAAATAAAAGAAAATGACCCTAACAAGAGTCTGAATAACAGTGGTTGGTTAAAACAAGTGTATGAAGGCGTCATCAACTCCAACTTCATGTTCTGATTCATTTAGATGAATGCATACAAACGGTAGGGTCAATGGCATTAGATTAGATTAGATTAGATGAGCTTTATTGGTCTCACAGCGGAGAAATTCACTGGTCACATATTGGCATAGTAATTAAAGAAGGTGCAAACAAGGAGGAAAAAGGTGCATTAAGAATAAACAATATATATACAGTATATCCAGGTATATACAGTATGTCAAGATAAATAAAGATTAAGGTGCAAGTGTACATGTATCGCACACAATGAAAAACAAAATAAAAAGAAATAAAAAAATACAAGGGAGTAGCACAGAGATTTGAGGTGTCATATGTACAATCCGGATGGCTTATATACAGGTGGATTTACTTTTACATTAAAGTGTAGTAGGTAAGGAACAATGGTGAGGTAGTGGTATGACTATTCTATTCACATATATTGCACATTCAGAATATTGCACAGAATATTGCACAGTCAATAAATAAAAAACTATAATATAGCTGCACAGTGGTTTTCACAGGAGTTATTGTGGTTATAGTGCATTATTATAGAGTCTGGTGGCAGCAGGAATGGATGACCTGCGGTAGCGCTACTTCTTACAGACTGGGTGTCTAAGTCTTTGACCAAATGAGGCATAAGGAGAAGAGAAAACATTTGTGGTGTGAGATGGAAGCCTTGGATATTGGCTATTTCCAGACTTGCATTCATGGCAAGCCGCTTCATCCAACATTTTTTAAATATATATATATATATATGTGTGTGTGTGTGTGTGTTAAAAATTATTTCTTTCATAATAGAGTTTTATTTTTTTGACACTTTTATTTTGGGAAAGCTACTATAAATATTTCAGTGACATTTTAAGATGTCTAAAACTCATCTTAAAATCTATTTTTATTCCTTTTTTAACACAGAATAAGACTCTCTCTTTTTGTGTTTGTGCTTGTGTTTTTTTATATTGTTTAATTAGTTTTAATTAATTTATTAGTTTTATCTGTGGGGTGGCATGGTGTTCCTAGTCCGGGACTTTTGTCCCCATGTCTACCATTCCATGTTTACCACTCCGTCAGGATGATTAGCATTTTTGAGATACTTTTGTTTTCAGACATTCTAATTGGATGAATGGTTTTGGAAAGTTAAGAAGCATTCTGAAAATGGCCGATAGAAAATTGGCATCAATGCTTTTCTTTATCTGCTTCTTCTGCTTCTGTTTGTTATTTTGCTAGTTTGTTCCTCTTTTCCTCTGAATAGCTTACCTCTGATCAGTGACCTTTTCTACCAACATTGGTGAAAGACTTGGTAGCACTTAGGAGCTCAGTGAATTCAAGCTTGGTGGAATTGACTGAGAAAAAGTGCCATGTGTGCAAGTCCAGTTGTAAAGTTTCCTCGTTCTTAAGGAAATCTAATATCAGCTTTAAATGGTATCAAAACAAAGTGGAAACAAATGGGGAAAAAAAGATACATTCTTCTTCTTGTAAGAATTAGCCTTAAACAAGGTACACTTACAGATCTTGGGCAAACCATGCAGACACAAATACTATAGTGTACTGAAGAACAAAGAAAAGGTTAATAAAGCCAATGATGAGAGTTTGTTGGATGTGAGTTGGAATTGTCTGTCCAGACTCAAACAGACCTTTGTGAAGAATTAGAGAATAAGAGGCAGGCTGCTCATCCAACAGCAGTCTATGACCTCAGGAATGTACACCTGGTCACAAACCTCCAAAACAAGCTCCTAAACCTTGTTGATATCCTTCCAAGAAAAGCAGGTTTAGCAGCAAAGGGTCAACCGGTATCCCATTTAACCCAACTAACCAAATAAGAACTGACCCAGTTCGGTCAGGGTTTGTTTCCTTTTTTTAATGGGGCAGGGTTGCTGAATGCACTTTATGTTGTTATGTTTGTAAATATAAACACTTGATAAACTTGTTAGGTTGTCACCTAAATAGTGCCTATTTAGCTGTGCTGCATGACGGAGCAGCATAACTTCTCTGCTGTGATCAAAAGGCGAGAATGTGATGAGAGAAAAGTAGAGGGCATTATGCAAGAAATATGTTTGCAACAAGCACAGTAGATGGGGAAGACTTTTGTGGTTTAATGCAGTTCATTGAGTTTTTACATTTCTCTGAGATCAAAAGCACAAAGTCTCTCTGGATTAATGGATTACAATATAAACAGAACCAAAACCCAAGTTGGAGTCAATTTCAATAAAACAAACTATGAAGTAGTCTGCAGAATGACTGTTTTACATCACTGTACATTGGAAAGAATAAGTATTTTTCATATTTTATTAACTAATAGATTCCTGTTTTATAAAATCTAAAAAGTGTAACAATGTGTAACAGCTGCCACAATAAATAGATTAAATCTAAAAAAAAAATTTAATCATGCATATTATAAAAAATAATATCCTCACATTTTATGGAAAGAGCCTCTTTTACAAGAGAAAACCTAGTTTGTTTTGTTGTTGTTTTTATTGTTATTGCCACTTATTAGTTAAT